GCATGAAATTGAATGAATAAACAATGCTTATATCTATGAAGATATCTCAATCATCCAGGTGAGGTTATCTGAAAGTTGAGTCATGACAAGTTTCTTATTAGGCTGAAACGTTAAGACTGAAGAAGCTAATTGGATGAGTAGCGAAACATTTCAACCTAATAAAAAAGAAGTCCAGTTACAGTGCTCAGTGTCAGTGAACTAAAATGGACGAGAACAGGAAACCACCATGTGTTCTACTCCAGAAATGACAATCCCAGAGTAAATGGATTGGCTCTAATACCAAGGCAAGATACAGCACAGGCAGTTAGGGACTATAATGCAAGATCTGACAAAGCCATATCAGTCAGACTCTGTGAGAAAACCTATCACCATAACCATCATTGAAGTTTATGCTCCAACTATCAATGCTGAAGAAAATGAAACTGAAAGCTTTTATGCAAGCATCCAAGAGGAAATTGATCACACACCAAATAAACAAAGAAACCCAAGTTTATAATCATAGGTGACTGGAATGCAAAAACAGGGAACAAAGCAAAATCAAATATTATTGGAAAATTTGACCTAGGGGACAGAATGAAGCAGGAGAATGACTTGTAGATGAAACTGAGGCTTTCATACTTTTGTCACATCATGAGAAGACAAGATTCACTGGAAAGGACAATAATGGTGGGAAAGGTTGGAATCAGCAGGAAAAGAAGAAGACCAAATATAAGATGGATTGAGTCCCTAAAAGAAGTCACGGGCTTGAGTTTACAAGAGCTGAGAAGGGCTGTTGAGGAGAAGAATATCATGGAGATGACTCATTCATACGGTCGCCATAAGTCAGAAGTGACTTGAGAGCACATAACAAGAACAGTACAGTTGTCCCTCGACTTACGAATGCCCCTACTTATGACCATTTTGAGTTATGACCAGCTCCAGCTGCAAAATTTTGCTTCTACTTGCAACTGGAGCGTCCACATACGAACAGAAAAAGGCAGGGGGAAAAGGTGGGAAATTCAAATTTCTAACAGTAGGTGGCAATGTGGCTGCTTCTTTGTAGCTCTTTTGCCCCAGCAGAGAGATTGTCGGAGGCTTCAGATGCTTGGGACTATCTCCTTCTGCTTCTGAGAGCATGTGTGTGTGTCTGCAGGGAGGCTTTGGGCTGCCTGGTAAGGTAAGGTGCTGTTTTCTGCTTTTTAAAAACTGGTCTGGATGTTTTTGCAGTGTGGGTTTGAGCTGGGGGGTATGTTTCTGTGTTGTGATGGGTCTTGGGAGGTTTGTTAGTTTTTTGATGTTTTCCCCCATTTCTGATGTGTCTTGGGGGGTTTGGTTGCCTTCTGGATTTCTCCCCCATTTCCGATGGGTCTTGGGGTCTCCCCCATTTCCGATGGGCCTTGGGGGGTTGGTTGCTTTTTGGATCCCCCCATTTCCAATGTGTCTTGGGGGTTTGGTTGCTTTTTGGATTTTTCCTCCCATTTCCGATGGGTCTTGGGGGTTTTGTTTGCTTTTTAGTCCCCACCCATTTACGATCTTGCATGATCTGCTTGATTGCTTTTTGCTTTCTCTTGTTTGCATTTACAATGGGTCTTGCACAGTTGATTGGTTTTTGGTTTGTTTTCTTTGCATTAGGTCTTTCACACTTGGTTGTTTTGCTTTCTCTTGTTTGCATCTGCAATGGGTCTTGCACGGTTGATTGGTTTTTGGTTTGTTTTCTTTGCATTAGGTCTTCCACGCTTCATTGCTTTTTGCCTTCTCTTGTTTGCATTTGCAATGGGTCTTGCATGGTTGCTTGTGTTTCTTCCTCGCCCCCAGTTCAGCTGGAAGGGATTAATCACATATCCGACTGGTCATGGTGATTTTTGAGTGTGTGTGTGTGATCTTTTTCTTCAGCCATAACGGATTAATTGCATTTCAGTGCATTCCAATGGGAAATGGTGCTTCAACTTACAACCATTTCGACTTACACCCATCTTCCTGAACCAAGTAAGTTTGGAAGTTGAGTCACCACTGTACTGTACTTCTATAGTAATAAGCAACAGTTTTCCTAAAACTTTATCTACTTGTAACCCCCCTGTTACAGGAGCTACACTGGCTAATGATCAGTTTCTGGGCTGAATTCAAAGTCCTGGTTCTAACATATAAAGCCTTAAATGGCTGGGGTCCAAGCAATCTCTTTATGAGCCTCCTCAAGTGTTAAGAACATCAGGAGAGGCTTTTCTCTTAGTCCCATCATCTTCACAGTTGCATTTTGGTGGGCACAGAGAGGGTCTTGTCTGTTGCTGCTCCCAGACTTCAGAACTCCCTCCCACAGGAGGCCAGGCTGGCCCCATCTTTGCAGTCCTCCTGCAACCAGGTGAAGACCTTTCTCTTCAGGCAAGCTTTCCCTCAATGACTGGCTGCCTGAGTGGGGTTTTAATTGGATTGTTGTACCTTACTGCTTTTAATGTGTTTTAGGGTTGCTTATGTTTTAAAATGGATTGTTTTCCTGTACTCCTTTTGGTGCTGCTAATATCAGTATAATATTTGTTTGATTCTCACCATATACTCACCATTGTTAGTGTTAAATACTGTCTTTTAATGATGAAAGCCACCTTGGGTCCTTTTTAAGGAGAACAGTGGGGTAAAAATATTCTAAATAAAATAAAAATAAATTAAATATACCCAATGCGATGTAGTGAACAGAGTGTTGGATGAGGGCTGAAATAAATATACCCAATGTGATGTAGTGAACAGAGTGTTGGATGAGGGCCAGAAGACCTGGATTAAAATAGCTGCTGGGATTCACATGCTTATAAAACCTGTAAAGCCTTGCCTCATATATCTCACCTTGAAAGCTTTACTGGGGATACAATTAGACTCAACACAATTCTTTTAAAACCCTCAGATCAAATACTAATAATGATTTAAACAAAAAGCTTAGCTGTTTGCTTCCCAAAAAAGCACACAGAACATCCTCACACCTATGCACAGCACATTTTTTAAAAAAAACAGATATATACGGTATAATAGATAAAAGTGTAGTAATATACACATACAGTGCATTTATGTGTATAGGACTACTCAGAAGTAAATAGGCTCAGTGTAACTTGTGCCTTAGTACAGTACAGTGGTGCCTCAACTTCCTCTTCATATGATTGGGCCTAGGATGTGCAATTTGGAAACTGACAGTGCAATTCTATCTATGTCTGTTTAGAACTCAGCCCCACAGAACAGAGTGAGGCTTGTCTCCCAGCTGAGATGGATAGTTGCAGAAAGTGCAGAAAAGGGTAACCCAAATAGTCAAGGGACTGGAACACACTCTCTCACACACTCTCTCACACACGCACACCCTGAGAAAGGGGCTTGTCTCCCAGCTGAGATGGATAGTTGCAGAAAGTGCAGAAAAGGGTAACCCAAATAGTCAAGGGACTGGAACACACACTCTCACACACACTCTCTCTCACACACGCACACCCTGAGAAAGGGATGCAAACGTTTTGGGCTCTTTAACTTGGAAAAAAAGGCGAGGAAGGAAAAGTGCGTGCAGTATAATTATGCACACCCTACAGAAATGGATAGGGAGATCTCTCTCTCTCTCTCATAATACAGTACTGAAACATGCAAATACTGAGGCTGCATGGTGGGAATGAAATCCAAGAGAGACAAAAGAGAACCTACTTCTTCACACGGCACAAAGTTAAAGTACTGAATGTGTCACCACAGGGCATACCAACTAGCAGTGATTTCATAGAGGGTAAGCACCGGCTGCGAGTTATCACGGATACAGATTTTGGTCGAGTATCAGAGGCAACATGTCTCTATTTCCCAGTTGCTAGGAGACAGGAGCTAGCGGGTCCGGGGTGCTGTTGTCATCACGTCCTCCCTGTGAACTTCCCATGGACACCTGGATGGCCCTTGTGGGGCGGGGGGAGAAAGCTCCAGCAGGCAGGCCTTCCGCGTCCGACAGCAGCTTGGCGGCCCTACCCGCAGAGGGCGCCCTTGCCACCTTCCCCAAGTAGGCACTTCTCCGCTTTCAAGGCTGCCTGGGCCATCATCCCCAAGGGCAGCTTTGGGCTAAGGTTTAAGGGAATCGCCATTCGTAGCTAATGAGGCTTTGGGAAAGAGAGGTATACCGACACCTCACCTAACCAAACCCAACGTGGTCCAGCGGTTGGGTCAGGCTCTGGGACCGGGCTGTTCAGCTCCGGTAGAGCGTTCAGCCCTCGCAGACAGGTTGAGCAACGCGTGGGCGGGGTCCTCCCTGGGGGAAGGGGCGGCAGGGGGGCATCCCGCAATCCGGGGCCCGGCGCCTTTCCCTGGGGAGGAAGAGGACGGCGGCCAGCGGAGCAACCGCGCCAGACGAGGAGAAAAGGCTAACTGCTCACGCGCCACACGTCGCGGGTGGGGTGGCGAGGGCGGCTAGTAGCCACGCACGCCGGCTGGCCCGCCCGTCAGCGCAAAAGCTTCCCGGCCCGATCCTGCAGCCCTCCCCAGCCAACAGCCGCGTCTTCCAAGTTTGACAGGGCGGGGCCCGATCCTCTACCCACAGAGGCGCGCGGGTGGGAGAGGGACCACCTGTACACGCACCCACCCAGCTGCTCTTCGCACTGACCTGAGATGCCTCCCCCGATCACCACCACGTCGCATTTCTTGCCACTCATGGTTGCCCCTCTCGCTCCGGCTGCCTGTCGGCGAAAGGATCCGTCCGGCGGCAGCAACCGACGGAGCTGCGGGATCGACGGCAAGCCGGGAGGGAGGAAGAGCAGGCGAGGGCGCCTTTATCACGCCCCTTGGCTCCGCCCGCCAGCCGGGCAGAAAGGACGAGAGGGGGGGGGCGCGGAAGAGGGACCCGCCGGTCGCGGCGTCTCGATCGAGTCTCTCAGCTCGTGCGGCAAACTCGCTGGACTGATAGCACTTTAATTCCGGGCGGGGAGTCTGTGCTCTCAGGACGGGCGGGGGGGGGAACGGGACCCCTGATTCCTCTCCCTACCCCCCCCAGATATCGGTGGACTACAGTTCCCAGCAGCCCTGACCACTGACCCTACCTGGGCATTGCAAGCCAATGCCACCTGGAGGGCTGGGGCTTGCCGTTCTGGCAAGAAAATCAAGGGAGAAGTGTCTCTCCTTTGGAGATGGAACACAGCGGGCATATGTGTGTGTGTGTGTGTGTGTGTTGAATTTCTGCCTACCCTGTTATAATGAGAGGCATAAAGGCATTCAGTGTGCGCAAACGCATACACTCATTTCTCCATGAATTTCCCACAGGGCTTCCCAAATGCCAACAGAACTCCCTCTTTCTTGTCCTTATAGTTTCCCATTAGTGTCCAGAAGATTCCCATTTTTCTCCGTGTTTTTTTGGTTTTTTTGCTCTTCGGAGTAGGTCTTTTGGTCTGTGATGAACTGCATACTGTACTTTCCAACCCCAATAGCCTTTTTTCCTTCTTCTTTAGGAATTCAAGATAGTGCAAAAATGGGGTGGGGAACAGTACGAGTTTTTGTGTATAATTTTTCTGATGAAGAGATGGTTGAATGTGTTAATGGAACTTTAATAGCTGAGTGCCTTATTAATGAATATCAGTTTGGAAGTTGGAGTGGCGACAGTATTGTCAGGCTTTGAGGGGACTCAGCACCAGAGTGCTCCATATCCACCAAAGGCTTAATTAAAAATGTGTGTTTGTGCTTGTTTCCAGCACCACTACAAGACACCGCTTTTTAATCTAAGGATGTGACAGGACAGGAGAGGACCACTGGAATGCAACACTGGACTCTGGTGTACAATTTTTCTTTACTATTTGTTTGTTTTTCTGTTAGCCACCTTTCTCCCTGAAAGGGACCCAAGGTAGCTTCCATCATTAAAAGTGTATTTAAAAGCTAAAAATGGTAAGCATACGAATATTTAAAAAGGGAAGGGGGCTGTGCGAAGCCTGAAGAAATGGAAATTTATCCACAGAAGCTTGCAATGTGTTTGATTTTAGTGGTCCAAAAGCATCACCCATTCTTTTATCTGTGTAATCTTTGGGGGGGGGCACACCTTTTCCTTGTTCTTTCTGGGCTAGATTAGTTTGCTTTGCAGTTTTTTAAACTGAGACCCTGGTAGCTTCTGCTACTGAAGTCACTCTCGCTATCCACACTAATGAGACAAATTACTCCATTGCAGAACTCCTCACTACATTTCCCCATCGGTGCAATTTTCCCTGGGATCACAGACCCACCTTATCAATACCACCTTCTTCCCTTTCCCTTTTCTTCATCACCTTCCCTTTCTCCATCTTTGGAGCTGCCAAAGATCAGTTGCCACAGTTGTCAATCATCTGGGCTTTAAGTGCATGTGTCAGGAAGAATTAATCCCCATTTTCCATATGAACGTTTGTGTTTCCACATAGTGCGTAGGTACAACATTCATATCCTTGCAGTGTCCTACTTGGACTCTCTCTCTTTCCAGAAATGACAGCACTATTCCGAGGAAGTGGGGAGAGGGGAGAAAGGGCAAGAAACATTGGCTACTTTATCTGCATCTCAGGGCGGTCTTTCTATCACCCCAAGGAATGGCGGGGGGGGGGGGGTTGACAAGAAGTTGTTAAAAGTGGCAAAAAAAACCCCACACCATTGATGAACTTGTTTGCATCCCAGAGAGGCTTTCCCATCACAGCAAGAAGCCAGGAAGGGAGTTTGGTCCCAGATGATTTCCAGCTGGTGAGCAAGCAAGGCACCTTTAGTAGACCAACACTCATCTGATATAGTGCTAACTTGACACACACATTTTTAAAAGGGTAGAAAAATGGTTTGGTGTAGAGACAGCAGGCAGCCACTCAAAGAGGATTGTCACATTGTAATGGCATACTGCGCCCCACTGGAAATTGTGTAAAACATGTCCCTTACGTCCCACCATTCTTCCCCTGGACCAAGAGAGATGATCACACACTAGAAAAAAATCAAAAAGGAATGTTGGCAGCTGAACAAGAGACATTCATGCCACTGAAAAAGGCATTGACTTCCACGCAATAAGCTTTACATTACTGGAAAATGAACCGATTTTAACCTTTTCAACTCTGCATGGTATTTTGTAATTCTACGAAAACCAAGGTTTTTAAAACTCTGTTTTACTTTAACAAAAACCCAGAGTGGTAATCTTTACAGCAGTAACTTCTGCACTGAATATAAAAACCAAAACAATCATGCAGATTAGCTTTTTAGCCCCTTCCCATTCCTAGTGGGAAATCTACAGCATGCCCCTTGACTCTGGTGGGTGCACCTGACCCACTCAGTACACAAGACTGAAAACAGACTTTTCATCTAGTCGGGCCTGGAGATCAGACCTACATCCTTGCTGGGCTAATGGTGCCATTTTAACCCTTACAATAAGGGTAAGGTGACAAGATGATGAAAAGACAGGGTTGGTGTAGCTCTAGTAGTTGTGCAGAGGAGGAAATTTCTGCCCCAAAACACTAGTATTTCTCATATATTTTGATAATGTGGTTGTTCCATAAGTTGAGAGGTGCTAAGAATCATGCTGTCAAACCAGTTCAATCAGTTTCCTATTCCACCACTCAGCTAAGCCATCAGTGGCGACACCACTATCCTCTCACATATCACCTCAGTGGATCAATCATCCCAGATTTGCAGAAGGGAGCCAGAACAGCTGGCTCTGTTGTTAGACAGAGCAAGATAAAAATATCAAATAAAAAATGGGAAGGGAAGACTCTTCTGAGCACCCTGGCTATTTCTCTGTACTGGGGGACCAAGCTGGGTGTGCTGCATTGACAACCCTGCGCCCTACTCTAGCATCCTTCCCTCAGGTTTGCTGAAAGATCTTGTCCCACTACCAAGAGTGAAGTAAGTGTCACACCAATTTGCTTTTGTATGTGGAATGGAGTACAGGGCACCATTTTGACCTTTGCTGTAGAGAGAAGAATGTCTTGGACCAGCCCTAGAGACAACAATTTCACAGCAGCAACTTTACTTCACTGTGTCCTCTGAATCCTGCCTCAGTGACTTGAAAGGATAATGTATCCATATTCATTAACAACACACACACACACCACACACACACACAGAGAGAGAGAGAGAGAGAGAGAGAGAGAGAGAGGCAAAAGAACCTTCCCGTTCTACTCAGTTCCGATAACTGTGTTTGAAACAAGGCTGTTTGTCACTTTGCAAGCTGCAGATCTGCTTTACTGCAGAGTATTAACAGGCTGTGGACCTTACCTTCTTATCAGGCTGACTTGGGTGCTTAGCAACTATCTAATCTGCTCCGCAGCATCCATTCATTGGGTGGCATCTCCCATTAAATTTTGAAGATACACTTGCTCTTTTGCCAGGCCCAGCCATGTCTGCAATCTGGCAAAGAGTGATCGGGATTGGGGGTTGGGTGGCTGCTCCCGTCATGCTTAATAGGATTGGGTTGAGCAAGGCGGTGGGAGTCACAGATTGGGAAAATTTACTCATTTGGATTGCAGCTCCCAGAAACCCTGAGACGCCACAGGCAGTGGCCATAGCAGCTGGGTGACGCTGAGATGTGTGGTCGAAGAAAGGATTTTTTCCTGGCTCTGGCGGCAGTGATGAGTGGGCTTGCTGTGGTTGGGCTGATATGTTGAAACTCAATACTTTGAGGATAAAATAAAATATTGCTCTTGTTTAAGGATGTTCATCTCCCTGCACTCATGTATCTTTTAAATATATATTTACACTATTTGTTACTTTTAAAACAGTGAACTAACATTGGACCCGGGCAGCAACTGGTAGCCAATGTAATTTAAACAGAATTGGCTTGTAATGTCCCCTAGCAGCCCCACCACTCACCAGCTGCGCAGGTTGATTCTCGACCAGCTGCAGTCCCCAGACCGTCTTCAAAGGCAGCCCCACATAGAGCGCATTGCAGTAATCTATACAAGATGTTACCAGTGCGTGTATAACTGTCATGAGACTCTGCTCATCCAGGTAGGGCTGCAGTTGGTACAATTTCCGCAGCTGAAGGAAGGCACCCCTAGCCACCGAGTCCACCTGGGCTTCCAGTGTTAGACCCCCAGGCTGCAGCCCCGGCCCCTTAGGGGGAGTGTAACCCCATTCAGGGCAGGGAAATGGCCCTCCAGCCTGTCCAGTGAAGCACCCACTAACAGCACTGCTGTCTTGTCTGGATTGAGTTTCAATTTATTAACCCTCATCCAGTCCATTATCAGGTCCAGACACAAGGTCAGCACAGAAACCACCTCACCTGGATTGGTGGAAAATGAGAGGTAGAGCTGAGTATCGTCAGCATATTGCTGACTCCTCAGCCCAAACCTCCTGATGACCTCGCCCATAGGTTCCATGTAGATGTTAAACAGCATGGGGGACAGTATTGAGCCCTGAGGAACCCCATGTCAAAAATGCCATGGGGCAGAGCAACTGTCCCCCAGCACCACCCTCTGGACATCCTCTCTTTGCTAAGGGTAAAGAGTTATGTTCTCTTTACCCTCAGCAGTAGCCATCCATGTGTACATGTAACAACAACTGGAAGTGAGATTACAATGTACAGTATAGTTTAACCACAGATACCGACTTACAGGAAGAATCTAATAAACCAAATCCCAAAGGCAGGGTTGGAGAGCAGGAATAACAGAAGGGAAAGCTAACAGGAATGGTGGCTTCTAAATAATAGCTTCTCTGCTCCCTCACAGAGTAAACTATGAAACCAGTTTTTAAAAAACGTGCCCCAAATCATCATCATCTAGAACTGCAGAACCAGAAGCCAATCAAGGAGGCCCAGTGGGGAATCGAACTCCCAACCAGCCAGAGACCTAAACCACTGAGCTCTCATACTCCTCCCCTGCTTGCCTCTTCTCTGC